CAGCTGCGCCATTCCTCACCAGTCCTTTCTAGAAAGCAACAAAAACTCTCTGTGTTCCTCTGCCCGTGTGGAAATCCACAGCACCACAGTGCCGAGTCTTGAGCTGGTTCCTGACCTGAACTGTGATGCAAAAACTTTCACTTTCTTGGTTTTTTGTTCATTTTGGAGTTCAAAATTGGAGCTCATTATGTTTATACTGTCAAAAAAAATATGGTTTTCACCATTTTACATGGGGTAAACTAATCCACTTTACTTTCCTGCTGCTTCATTGGTTATAGGAAATCACACTGCAAAAAGATTATTAGATCTGTTCTTGTGACTTTCTGAGATGGAGATGCAAGTGTCCCTGAGCAATACTTTGTTTCACTGCTCTTACTATCTCCAAAGATTTCCTGGGGGCTCAGTCTTCCTTGCTGCAGTTGTCTCTCTCCCTTCAGTGATATTAGTCACAGCCACAGGGAACAGACTATTCCTTCCTGTTCTGCAGGCTTTCATGCACAGAAAGGCTGTTGAACATCTCAGCTGTGCTCTTCAAACCCCAGCATTCCTGTTCCCATGCAGTTTATCCCCATTTTCTTTTCTGATGGTTCCTGCTGCTTCCTTCTGATTTCTTGCTGTGTGATCTGTATCTTGCTGGGATCAGTGCCCAGAGCTGGATGCCAGGCTGCCATTTGGCCTTGTCCAAAATGAGCAGAACAAGATCTATTCAAGGCCTTATTCCCAGGTACACACTTGCCAAGGTGTTGCTGTTTTGCCCTGGTACAATGTCAGAGTTTCTGCTGACAGTGCACATTGATCCCACACTGTGCAGGGTTTTTGCTGAGCTGGTCACTCTCCATCACACACCAGGGGAACTGCTCATTTCTACCTGAAATACCTACCTTGCACTTGTCCTTAAATTCAACTTTATGGTTGAGAGCTTCCCAGCCCCTGCTCCCTCCAAAGAACTTTGTAACACGTTGTAGAGGCTGTTTCTGCAATGTGGCATTTACCAGAATCACGGCCTATTAAACCCCAGATTTTCTCTTTGATAAGAAATATTTAGTTATAATGTGTAACAGCAATTGTAACGTGGTAATTATCAATGGGTTGGATAACTAATGCATATTGGTGGTGTGTAAATAAAGGTTAGAGAGGGAAAATAACAATAATTTTTTAAAAGCTGAGCAAAAATAGACGGTGGAGAGGAGAGTGCGAAGGTGTTAAACATTGCTAATATTTGCTTGCCAATTACTGTAGTTGCTTATTTAAAATGAGAAATGTTTTGCATATAGTTTCTCATATAGAATGCTGTTCTCTGTATCAAATGAACAAAATAGGGACCTGATTTACTTGGAAACAGTCACAATGATCCTGGCAGATCAGACACCCAGCCGTGCTCTGTGAACACTCACAGAGCCAGGCATACTTCTCCACAAACAGAACTCTTCTCTACCAGCTCCCCTCGCTGGCAGTGAGGAGAGATGCTCAGCCCTAAAGAGCTCAGCTGCTGCTGGGCTTGACCAGAAATTCAGATGCAAACAGAATTTACACAGAGTGCACCTTCGATGTTTCAGTGCAACGCAATGCAGCATTGCCTGGTTTTCTCCCAGGAGCTGCATCCAGGTCTGGTTGTGATCTCTGGATGGGCACATTCCTAGAGCTAATTCTAAATGGATTTCATTTTGTTTGAACAGTAATTTGTCTTCAGGTTGGGCTCCACATCTACCCTATGATGCATGCTTGAGGCAATTGTCCCAAATACGCAAGAACTTACTCAAAACTTGCTCCCTGTTTTAATAAAAGGGCCTTCGGAGGGTTCCTCTTGGCCAGGTGCCGCCTCCTGTCCTGCCTTGTGCCCACCTGCTGCTGGCTCTCACTGGAAGCAGCTTCACTGCTGATCACACTTTCAGCATGACAGAATAGACCTGCTCTATTTCATGGACTCTACATTTAAATGAAAAGCAAAAATAAGCTGCAAAATGAACTTCCAGTAATGTGCTGAACTTCAGCTCTGTTCTCAACCATCCCTTTGCAATTCTTCACCTTCAAGAGAAGAAAATTAATTCCCTAATTCCTCTAAATTTAGTGTGAACTTAAAGGAAATGTGCAACTTACTAAAGGACATTTTATCTAAGTTTCCTCTTTTTTTCTGTTCTATTTAGTGAAAGAGTAAATTCTGTATTTTTATTTCAACATACCTCTTTTGTACACATTATTTATTCCAGCCCAGCATTGCAGAGATGCATCAAAGCCTTCTCCTTGCAGCTCAGCATCCTCAGAAAGTGTCAGCTGCACCATGAAATCACACTCTGCAGGAATTGCCCCACTCTCCAGTAATAACTGTGCTCCAAAAGGAGCAGAAATGTGTTGGGACTTTGTTTATTTACCCTTGGGACCGAGCACCTCTGGTTATCTGGGCAATCTCTGCAGCTCCATACCCAGAGGCCACATGATGACACTTGGTCCTGAGGAGCTCCTGGTGCCACCCAGCCTTGTACCTGCCCTGGCACACCTGGTGCTCTGTTTTTCCTCAAATAGACCCTCCCCTGCCACCTTGCCCTTGCTTTCTGACTGCAGAGAGTTAAACTGGCTTGCTGCAGCCTGGCACTGTATGCCATCATGCTGTGCTGTGCCAATCTCACTCTGGTGGCTGTGACATCGCCTTCAGTTTATTTCAGGTGCTTTGAAGTGAGAAAAATGCCCACAGCCCATGGCCAAGTGCACCAGGTGAAGCCCAAGGAAAAATGGACTGAGAACAATGGTGATGCAGCACATGATGACACTCGGCCCTGAGGAGCTCCTGGTGCCACCCAGCCTTCTCCTGCCTGTCACTGTACCTGCCCTGGCACACCTGGTGCTCTGTTTTTCCTCAAATAGACCCTTCCATGCCACCTTGCCCTTGCTTTCTTACTGCAGAGAGTTAAACTGGCTTGCTGCAGCCTGGCATTTTATGTCATCATGCTGTGCTGTGCCAATCTCACTCTGGTGGCTGTGACATCACCTTCAGTTTATTACAGGTGCTTTGAAGTGAAAACAATGCCCACAGCCCACGGCCAAGAGCAGCAGGGGAAGCCCAAGGAAAGATGACCAAGCGCAGGGGTGATGCAGCCAAGGCAGCTGAGAGGATTCCCGTGCTGTGGAGTGTGACAAGGCTGGTGACACGCCAGGGTGACAGCCCTGCCATGCCCTGCGGGCTGGGGCTGTCGGGCCGGTGCTCTGAGCTGCCTGCAGGCTGCACTGCCACCCCATGCATGGAGCCAGCCCAGAGAGGCACACACGGTGCTGTCTTATCTAGAGGTGATGTTATCTCATCTAGAGGTGATAACAGCACCAGCAGCAGGGAAACTTCCCTGTGTGACCATCCCGGAGCCACTGGCAGCCACATTTGCACCACTGAACCCCCTGGCAGCCACCCCACACTCACAGGGCACCCCTGGGTTCCTCACCAGGTTTCCAATGGCAGTGCTGGTGTTTCACAAAGTTTCCTGTGGCACTTTCAGATGTCTTTTAGGAGCTGTCATCTACAGGAGCTCAACCTGCAGCTGGCACTAAATGTGCTCCTCAACACCCAGGTTCTGCCCAGTGCTCCTCATGCTCCATGGGTGTGTGCATCCTGCCCTGGCAGCACATCCCTCTGCTCTCAGGAAACATGCTGGGTGCCCACTTCCCACCCCTGGGCTCTGCTGTTTCAGGATTTGTAATATCTATATATTTGTTTTCTGCTTTCCTTAACAGGCAGTTATGTGTATGACCTTGTATTTTACATAATTTAATGACTGTTTGTCATTTAATATTATTTTTCTTCAGTATCTGTAGTTTACACAAACTTAATTTCTTTTTCTTTCTAACAGGAAAATAATTTACCTGTATTCATCATTCTTTTGTTGAGTAAAAGGTAACTTCATTGAAATACTAAATTATTGGGAATATGTTCATTTTGTCTAGATGGTAACTCTTCCTGAGTACATGATAAATCATCATGCAATGGCTTTGCCCAGTATCACAATATGGTCATGAGGAAGGGATTTTCTCTTCCTTGAGAGAAAAAAAAAACCCAAGAAAATAATAGTCTAGAGTGAAATACAAGACTTTTCTGTCTCTTTATTAGAAAAGTACATCTCAAAAGAAAAAGCATATCTGAAAAATGTTTGACTGACAGAAGGTGGTTGCATATAAAAAAATCAAATACACCAAACTGAAAAGTGCTGCTTCTTATATTAGGATTTAGGAGCTTAAGAGAAGCTGTTTGAGTTCCAAGTGCTGATGTTTCATGCGGAATATTTTGCTCCTCTTTTGCACAGATTCCCAGCTGAGTGCCTGGATGGATGGCATGAGTTGGTACCAGCGATGACTGAGAGAGGCTCCTCTCCTCCAGGGCTGGGAGGAGGCTGGCCTGGGGACTGTCTGCTTGCAGAAGTTGGCTGTTCCTCCTTGTAGCCCTCACAGCACTCTCCAAAGCCATTCCCAACCCACATTCAGGATGTATTTCAAGAAAGGTTGGGCTGGCATAATAGAACTGACATTCGGGTGCTCATGGAAGTGAGTGAAATCTGTCTCAGGATGTTTCCTTCAGGTTTGTGAAGACTTCAGGAAATCCAGCCCTGGTGAATACAAGGAAAAGTATGGAAAGCCTGTAGATTGCATATTGTGCTGTAATGTGCACCAGTGCATTGGGGTCTGGCACCCAGCACCTGACTTCTGCATTTGAAGACTAATTGTTGAAGGGAAAACCTGAATAGTCTGCAGAAATAAATGAAAATGGAGGTCTGTGCTTGAAGAAGTCTTGATTTGCAAATCTGGGAGAAATTATGTTTACGCAAGGAATTCTGAAGTATTGTTTTATATGTTAGGTACTCTACTAACAAAGTGTCCCTTGTAAATACCAAACCCATGAAACTCAGCTATTAGAGAGAAAAGGAAAATAATCTTGAGGGTAGCTTTGTCTCAAACAAAGGGACATCAACTGCATGCCCAGGTGTTTCTTTTCCATCTCTTACCCTTCAGTAAGGGTATCAGTATTGATTTATGCAACTTTGCAGAAAATAAGGTCAGAAAGGAGGTGTGAAAAAAAGATAATAAAGAATTATTTAGTTTTCTTCAAGATTAAAACCACCTGAATTCCCATCACTTATAGTACTGATTTCATTGTTGTACACCAGACTTGGGTCTGGATGACATTTTGCTTTAGCAATTATGTAGTTGATGTGATGTGATGTGATGTGATGTGATGTGATGTGATGTGATGTAATGGAAAATACTCCATAGGAGAGTACCTCATATACTGCTTCAGCTGAAGTTTTCAACAAGTTAATAATTCTTCAGTGTTCGACCAAAGTATGAAAAATTCTATTTTATCAACAGAAGTGAGCATCTTTCTTCATTATCCCAGAAATATTCCACTGGAAGGTGAAATCAGAGCAGAGGATGACTCAGTACAACCATTCAGCACAGTTCTCTCTCCAGAGCTCAGCTAATAAATCATTAAATGTCACTGAGACACCTCTGCCTTGGGATGAAAGGACACTCTTGGGGCTGAAGATTTCACTGTCAATCCTTCTGGCCGTCATAACTTTGGCAACGATCCTCGCCAATGTTTTTGTTGTTATTACAATTCTCCTGACTAGAAAGCTCCACACACCTGCAAATTACCTCATCGGCTCCCTGGCAGTGACTGATCTCCTGGTGTCAGTGCTGGTGATGCCTGTCAGCATTGCTTACACCGTCACCCACACGTGGGCCTTTGGCCAGCTGCTGTGTGACATCTGGCTGTCCTCAGACATCACGTGCTGCACAGCCTCCATCCTGCACCTGTGTGTCATTGCCCTGGACAGGTACTGGGCCATCACAGACGCTCTGGAATATTCCAAGCGCCGCACCGCTGGCCGAGCAGCCCTCATGATTGCCGTGGTCTGGATGATATCCATCAGCATCTCCGTGCCACCGTTTTTCTGGAGGCAAGTGCAAGCTCATGAAGAGATTGCAAAGTGTGCTGTAAACACTGAGCAAATTTCCTACACCATTTATTCCACTTGTGGAGCTTTCTACATCCCGACCGTGCTCCTGCTGATATTGTATGGGAGAATTTATGTAGCAGCTCGAGATAGGATTCTGAAGCCGCCCTCGTTGTATGGCAAACGTTTTACTACGGCACACCTGATCACTGGCTCTGCAGGCTCCTCCCTCTGCTCCATTAATGCCAGCCTCCATGAAGGGCATTCCCATTCAGGTGCATCCCCAATATTTCTGGGTCCTGTTAAAATAAAACTTGCAGATAGTGTGCTGGAAAGGAAAAGAATCTCTGCTGCGAGAGAAAGGAAAGCTACCAAAACTTTAGGCATTATTCTGGGAGCTTTCATTTTCTGCTGGCTGCCTTTTTTTGTCATATCCCTAGTCCTACCAATCTGCCAAGATGCCTGTTGGTTTCATCCCATCCTCCTGGACTTTTTCACCTGGTTGGGTTACCTAAACTCATTAATCAATCCAGTCATTTATACAGCTTTTAACGAAGAATTTAAACAGGCTTTCCAGAAACTAATACTTTTCAAAAAGTGCTCCTCTTGAGACTCTCCTCCTGTGTACCTGACCCTTGTGCAATCTCACAGCCTACCTGAGAAATTCCGTGCTTTTATTCCCAAGGAACTGAGTGGTAATTTCCATCTCTGCTACTACCCTGTTCTGTGCATGTAAATTTCTGGGAATTTCTTGCCAATTTGATACTTTCTGTCTGGGATTGTACTTGCCAAACCAGAAATTGTCCATGCTCACTGCAGTGATCATGTGTGTATATAAGATCAGTGACACATGAAATAAGCTTTGCAATGGGGCAAGGTGTGTGAACCAGGGAGTTTTTGTGGGATGAGGTGACACATTACCCTGATGGGAGGAAACTGTGTGTGTATTTACAACACTTTAGTATTTCTGCTGTATATTATTAACCATTTATGTCAGCTGAGAGAGTTTCTGGAGAGCAGGATCTGATATTTATATTTTCTATGGCATGCATCTTACCCATGTGAAGCTGATAAAACCTGTAATTAATTCAGGAGATGTGTGACACAGCCTGACTATAATCAGCAGCAGGGCAGAGCAGCATAGCACAGATGTAAGTTATGTGGATATTTCACAAATGCTGCATCTGAAGCTATGCTTTCGGTGAAGTGTAGGAAGGAGACAATTTAGTTGAATTAATTATTACACATTTTATCATTAATAGAGCAGCCAATGAAGAAATGCTACAAAATAAATAGCATGAAAACGATTGATCTTATATTTCTGTCATTTAACTTTTTTGCATGCATAAACTGAAGCAGGAGAATATGGTTAGTGTCAGTGTGGAATAAATAAAATAGGCAAAAGGTTCACTCCTTGGTGACAAAATATGGGAAGTTAGGGGAGAATGAAGTGACACACCAAGGAAAAGTTTCTTAGTAATTAAGGTTTTTGGGGTGGATGTGGCACCCCTGTCTCTGGAATTCTTTAAGTAGTGGTCAAACAAACTGTGGTCAGGAATCACTGTCAGGACGCTCTGCTGGGGTCACAGAGCAGGTCCCTTCTAACCTGCCCTCCTCTGTCTCTGGGATCATTTCCCTGATTGCCAGGTGGAAGCTGGCACAAGGAGGTCTTGGATGAAGTCAGCACACCAAGTGGTGCAGCCTAAATGTCACACAATGTTTTAGTCTCTGGGCATTTTACATCAGAAGTGTCATGTCTACACTGAATATGAGAGCCTCACACTGCTTTGAAAATCACCCCATCATCCTTCTGACCTCCCTTCCATCCCTCAGCCTGCAATTCATCTCCACCCCCGCTGCTGTGGCCATCCCAACACACTCCACCACAGTGCATGTCCACCCAGCTTTCAGCCTCTCCTCCGCATTTGTGGCACAGCTTTGCAGCTTCTCCCTGCTGCTGGTGCCTCTGCTGAGGATGGACCATGAAGTGATGGCCCAGGACTCAGAGAGAGAGCTGTGTGCCCATAGAAGGGCAGTCCTCCCTCTCACTGAAGCATTTAAGGCTGCTCTGTTTGGGACTTGGCTCCTCCACCCTCCCAAAAGGGCACTCACTGATCTGGCCCTGCCAAGAGATTGGGATGGTGCCACTACAGGGCCATGTCCACCCAGTGTCCTCCAGAGTGGCACTGCCACATCCTGAGCTGTGCTGCTGCATTGCCTGGGGACATCTGAGCTGACACAGCCCCCAGGGGAAGGCTTGAACCATAAACCAGGGTGGAAAACTGAACTCCCACACGAGGCAGTCCCTGGTACTGTTCCATGTGCTGTTATAGCAGCAATCAACTTCTCATCCTCCTCTCGTGATGACAGTCTGAAATGTTCACCTTTGGGCCAGTTTGTGATGGCTTCCAAGATCCCTGGGTGATTCACCTGCTCAGTGTGAAACATAAAATTACAGATCATGGTCCTGGAAGGGCCTTTGAGAGGCTGGCTAGTGCTTTCCCTGCCTGTATCAGCTGTGCTTTTGTTCTCTTCCTGCATTTCCTACCCTTGAAGATTTCCAATTATGAACAGAATGGTAAGATACAGCACAGGAAGATGATCCACCACTCTTCTTTGACACTTTAATTCAAGAGCAAACAAAGTAGGGCCTTTCTTTGGTTAGATTATAGGTTGATTTTAAAAGGCACATGGTCTAATATTACACCATTCTTATTGCTGGTAAATATTTCATAGCATGCCTCAGTAATTTATATTGGAAAAAATTGTGATATGGAACTGGCAGATGAAAACTCTTGCTAGAGAGGATCATAAATTAAATAACACCCACAGCCTCTGAGCTGAAAGGAGGAGGCTCTTGTGTCACAGAGATCAATGTCCATATTTACCTTGTTTTACAATGCTCTGTGAATTGCAGTCCAGAGCACACAAATTTATTTCACAGAGGATACATGAGGGATGAGTGATATCTCAGTGCCTCTCCAGTGAAGCTCTTGCAATATTGAGCACAAAGATAAGTTAAAACATGTTATGTTTGTATAGAAATACATATTGATATGTCCAAGAAGATAGTTATTTCAATGATATTATAATATCAATATTATCAATTATTTCAATGATGTTATAATATCAGTTATTTCAATGATATTATAATATAATTCAATATAATATTTATTGAAAACAGAATAAATAGCTAAATATATGTCAAAGCATGTGTGTTCACTGCAGCATCCTGCATTTAAATTCCAGTGCAGGTTATTCCTACAAGCAGGGAAGAGGATGAGTGTCAGCAAGGAGGAGTCACCATGACAGAAACTGGCAGGACAATGAATGTGGGACATGATCCAGGACAAACCTGAACTTGCTGTGTGACAGAAATATGGCCATTGAAAGCCTGTGGGTTGAAGCAATCCCACCATGCTCACCAATGTGAAAACAGCTCCTTGTCAGGGGAGTACAAAGGAACAAATGCACACGAGGAACAAAATGCACAAAGGAACAAAATAACAATATGTAAGACTATTTAAGCATATGAAGCTCTATTGAGGAACAGATCACATCTTCACAAACAAACAGGCCAAAAGTCCTCTTCCTGTTTTCTGCATGTTATCAGTCTATGAAATGATGGAAATGTTTTTGCAGAACACACTTTATCACACAATTTCAGAATGCTTACATTGACAATTATGATTTTTTACCACTCTGACACTCTATTGCAAAAGGTACTTTGGTACTGTGAAGATAGGATGCTTTGTATTTTCCTGTCTATTCCATTGCAGTTAATGATGGATAGACAAATTTTAAACTACCATGGAAACTACTCTGTACCCTGCTTTTCTTTTTTGAGTTCACAACTCCCTCTGCAGTAAACCTTGCCAGTCCTTGAACAAATGTTAAAAGAGACAGCTGTAGCTATGGTGCCAATCTTGAAATTATATTGGCAAGCACCCTTGGCATCCTTAAATGCACTCCTTCTGGCTCCATGTGTAGACCCAATTTAGCTGACATTTTTAAGATGTCTGCTCCACGAAGAGGTGAAACATCCCCTCAAACCAACCGACTTTAATGACACTATTTGATTACCTAGGCTGCAAGATTGAAATGAGACTTGTATAGAAGAGTCAGTAGTGGAGATGTCTGAAGTATTCAGACCAACCCTACTCACAGTGTGTGTAAATCCTGTTTATTATTTCCAGCAATTGCCACTCCCCATCCTGGTGTTCTCCAGGTGTCAGGTTCTGGCTCCTTTTGCAGCTGGTGAAGGTGGATGTGAAAACCCTTGGTTTGAGGAGATGGTGCTCTCACTGGACTGAATATTTTAGGTTTCTGACTGAGAGGAAGATGGCAGCAGTACAAAATAACAAGACACCAACCCGTTTCTTATGTGCTGCAGGCTTCTCAGTGCCTTTGTGACCACGCCTTGACATGGCTGCAGGCTTCTGTGGGGGCTCATGGTGGCACCCAGCTGATTCTAGGAACAAGAAACAGCCTGACACACAAAACCCCAAACCCAACAAAACTTACATTGCCATATAGACTGCTGACAATGATATGAGACTAGCAAGCCATGCAGCACTTCCATCCACACAAGCATGATTCTGTTTCTTTTTCCCTGCTTGCTGTGAATTTAATACTGCTCCTAAACTCTGTGTGGCTTCTAGCACAACCAAGGCTCCAGCTCTGTCAGGAGCTGTTAGAAATTAATTAGACAAATATTAGGATCTTATAATGACCCTGATTTTCTAAATGCTTAAAATCTGAACACCTGGAATCAGGTAGTAACAGGAGAATCTTCATTTCTAGTCTGCAGAGAGAAGCAAGAACCACTGGCTTAGAAAACAGTGGGCTAATTCAACTCACTAGAGGCAGAGAAGTATTGACTCTGAGTTAGTTGTCTGCCAGTTTGATAAACAGAACAAATACTAGAACTGGTGCAGCAGAAGCAGCACACACATACAAGTAATTTTAGTAGGGACATGCATGTATCAACAGCAGCAAGATCAACTCAGACACCTCACTTAAATTCACCATACAAGCAGAGGAAGTACAGAATAGCAAGAATATCTGGAGAGTCAGTTCAGGGACTTCATGAACTGGAAGATGACTCAGATAGGCGTTTTTAATAACTACAGAGAAATCTGTTCTCTGTAAGTTTGGCTAATCCCTTTTGGGTCTCATGCCTCTGGTGTTCATGGCATCCTAGAGCCATCCACTTCTCACGTTATCAAGCTGTGCATAAGATGCACGAGTTACTTTTATTTGTTTAAAGCTACTACACCCATATGGATCTTCTGTTGTCAAACACACTGAACAGCTTCTGCTGCTTCCCCGTATCATTTGTGATTTTATTGTGTTTGTCATCTCTCCTTGCTCATCATCTCTGGTCACACCTGCCCACATTACTTACACCACACTCCCCTGGAACTATGCAGCCTTTCTATCAGTCATTGTGGGGACATCTGGGGGAAAAGCTTTCTACCAGTGGTGCTGGCATCCTGTTTTGGGTTTTGGAAACCCAGCACCCACGCTTCCAATCCAAGAGATAAGCATTGCAACCATGCCTCAGGCTTTGGTGAGTCCTCATTGTGCAGAAGTGTAAACAAGAGGAAATGCTCACTAAGGAGTGGGAGACACTGCTCAGCCTCCTGTGCCACCAGATGCCAGCACCACAGGCACAGTGAGCTGAACTGCTGCTGGAGGGAAAGCACAAGGTGTGAGGTGAAGTCCTGACCCACCCAGCATGAGTGATGGAGGGAGGTGACAGAAAACAAACTGAGCTGAGCTGATAAAGGAGGAGAAAGAAGCCCCTCACCAAGGTGGCAACTAAACCAGCTACAGGGTGAGGAAAAGAGTGAATGAAAACCCAGGAAATGATAAATGTCAAATCTCTGGATCCAAGTGAGAGACAAGCTGCCTGCTCTGTGTCACGCTGCAGCTGGTGGCACAGTGCCCGTGGCAACAAGGGTTGTATTTCAAACCAGGCTGGTATTTCAAAGAAAAAAGCTTAGTGGTTGGTGAGAGGTTAGACACTTGGAAATTTCTGTCCAGGGAAAGGAAATGATGTAGAGGAAAACTAAGGAAGCTCTGGCTGCTCTAAGATAACGCAATTTTTTTATTTAATATTTTTAATGATGGGGACTTAGCAGTCAGTGGGAGGTGCAGACAAAAGCACAGAAAGTGGAATGAGGGATGTTACAAGGTGAGGAGGCAGCTCCCCTTTTCCCCCCACAATGGCCAGTGGGTTCCCAGCCTGTCACATCTCGCTGCCCGCCCGGGAGGCTCGAATCGCTCACCGGCCTCTGACCGCGTCTGCCGG